AGTTTTTGGTATAGCTTTTAGAATGGCTCTGTGGCAAAAAGATTGACAAGCATTTTTTATTGAGTCATAAAGTTTGTTATTTAGTCAATCTTAGTTTGCTTTCTAATTTTGGAATTTTATAAAAGTTAAAAATTGAGATTTTTATTATTAATTTAGAAAAAGTTGTTTATTGTAAACTTTCAACTTTGATAACTGTATACTTAACTCTATGTAGCTAATTACTAATTGGTTTAATTTCAAGAAGGGCTATATTTTCGATATACTCGTATAAATATTAGAAAAGAAAAGTTTAATGTTACACACATTTTTTGGCTTAGCAACAGCGAGCACACATTAAGACACGAAACCGAAGCCAAAAATTTCTACAAAATGTTGTATATGTTGTATAAATCTTAAATTACATTAGATAACTAAGATTTTTTTTTGGGCAAAATTAAATTTCACCAAAACTGAGCCCAATGTGCTTTGATTGCATTTTAGCTCCCCTTTTTCCTGGATTTTTATCGGTGCTACTGCGCTGCCTTCTTGTTTGTTTCGTGAGGTAATTAATTTTAGCGGTTTGTTTTTTCGGTTGTGTTTTTTTCGAGGCCCGTTGCTGCAAATTTATGTATTTATTAGCCTCCATGCATAGGCGGTGGCTTTAAATTTTAATGGTTTTTTAATTAGGCGGCGCCGTTTGATGATCCATACATACACACATACATATGTGCATACCCTCTTACTCAGGCCTTTCCTGCAGCACACCCCTTTCTCTCTCATTAGCAGATCATTGGCAGCAAACAGCTAAATACTAAGCTACCAATACTACAAACAATGTGTTATTGGCTACAGTGAAACTTATAAAAGTTAAACCTTATTCACATTTTTTAAATCATTAATAATTTAACCTCATATTCCATAAACTTTGTAAACTCGTAAACTTTAATCTCGTACTTTTATGTTTTGTAATACTTTTTATCTTTATTCTGGTTAGCGTAGCGTAATTTAGTGGTGAGATAATTTAGTTTCGATTTGAAAGAAGTGGGAGTGTAAACAGTCGATTACAAATTACAACTACTACGAGTGGAAACTACGGACTACAACTGGAACTACGTCCGCAGTTTTACAACTTTACAACCGCATGTGTAGTTTTTATTGCAACCCATTTAGGCGACGTTGCTGCTTCCGTTTGCGCCTCCTCTGTTTCCTTCCTTCTCCTCTAGCTCTGCTTCTGCCACTCTTCCTTGCTGCTTCCTCTTTGGGCCGTTTTACGAGGTGCCTGCTAGTATTTTTTGGTAGTCACTGTACCACATTGCGCCGCAACAACAACAACAACAACAACAATAAAGCAACAGAAACAAAAACACCAGCCAAGGGCCAACGACACCGACATTTTCTGCACTCCACATACAGGCACACACACACCTATATCAATGCAAAACTCTTTCTCTCCTTCTTGCACAAGCTCATGCGTTTTTGGGGAGCGAGCGAGAGAGTCGTGCGCCTTCTTTTCCATTCATAAGCGACTGCGTTTTGCTGTCGTCTCTGTAGTTGTTGTTGGTTGTTTCTGATGTTTCTCTGCTGGCGCTTGGCAAAAAAAAATGTGAAAAAAATTATTTGGCGGCCTCCATCTGTGAGAAAAAAATTTCTGTTATTTTATATGTGCTCGATGTAGTTGTTGCTCTTTTTCCCTTTGCGTTTTTTGTTTTGGTTTTGTTGAGAGTGCGGCAGGGTTGCCGCCCTTATCACACACACAAATATAAAACGGACAGACTCCGGATTTTCCACTCCGTACGTTTACACGTATCCTATGCAAATCGTAGTTTATTCGTACTCAAATAAAAAAACAAAATACGTTTATGAGTTATATGCAATTAATAGTTTTCTGGGTTGTTTTTTATTAACATTGTTTATTCAGCTTTCCCTGGAAAGCAGTGGAGGAAAAATACATATTAATGTATTTAAACTAAGAAAATACAACTAAATAAACAAAATGAATTTATTATCAACAAAAAAAAATTACTCCTTTGCATCCATTATTACATAACTACAATCATTTGAGGTATAGAAATTGAGCTGACCATTAAATCAAAAGAACTTAATATTCATATACATATATACATATGTATGTAAATATATTGACAAAGGGCAAATTAAGTATTTATTGTGAAGTATTTTATGGTTCCTTCTTAATGATTAAAATATTTTTGCATCGCATAAACGCATACCTCCTACGCATCTTTTTTCTGTTCTTCTCGTCGTCCTTCTCCACCGTCTCCTGTTCAACCACCCATTTACCTCCTTCCTCCTGTTTGTTATCGCAGACATGCGCTCTGTTTACTCTCTCACGCTCTCTCTTTGTCCCCACCATTTGCGCGCGCTCGCTATCTCTGTCTCTTTCTGTCTGGCCGCCGCCTAACTGCGCTTGCACTTTATTGTTGTTCTTCGGCTTTTCGTCCTGTCTGCGTGTTTTTATACGCACTGCGCTTTAGCACGTCTATCCGCAAAACAAAAAAAAAGTGGACTGTGCATGGTGAGAGAACGAAAGAGCGAGAGAGGGTGAAGCATGCAGACGCCGACGCTGTTCGCCTCTCGCTTGCACTCGCACCGGGCCGTTATTAGATTTCAGTTTGTTTTCGTCCCCATTCGCATTCGTTTTCACACATTGCGCTTCGCGTCATTTTTCGGGGTCAACGTCATCTCGAGGGTTGCCGGCGCTCTGCTTCTGCCGGCGTCGCTGCTGCGCTTCTTGCACGCCTGGCGTTTTTTCCGCTTTTTTTTTGTTTTTCGTTTTTGTTGTTTGTGCATGTCTCGTATTTTGTGTTTTATCGCTCTCGCTCGTGCAGGCGCTCTCTCAGTTGGACTCTCTCATTTGCTGCTGCTGCAGCATATTTTTAATGCCGGCGACGGGCCTCCCAATGTGTTTGTGTGAGTTCTTGTATAAGTGTGTGTTGATTTGTTGTCTTGACCAAAATGAGTTTTTGGCCAAATATGCGAATCGTAAGCAAAATAATAAAGCTATCGCCAAAGCCAATATTATTTATTACGCTCGGCAATTAAAAATGCATTAAAGCTAGTTGCACAAGCAAATTAATTTATTTATAATACAGTAAATTATTTATTTTTTAATGTGGGAAACTATTTTAATATGCAATTAATTTATACAGAATTCATCAGTGTTGTAAAAAAGTTAATAGAATATGATTAATCCCTAGTTGAGTATGATTTTAATGCATTTATCTATTGTATTACATTAATAATTAATAATTATTGTTATTAATTCATATTAAATCTTGCAAAGCAAAGTTCATTTTGTTTTAGGGTTTAATTTTAGTTTAAGTCTTTAACTAAAAGGAACTTATAAGCAATAACCACTGTTTTGCTTTTTAAATGCGGAAAACTGAAAAACGCCATCTAATTTATTTATTTATTTTAGCTTTAGTTCAGCAGTTTTCCATTTTTTCTGCATTTCGCGTGCCGCACACAACACCCCACGTGACTTGTGGAGTGAGAAGGGTATGGATGATAAAGAGGATGAGGTGGAGGGGTGTAGTGCTGTAGAACGAGAGAGACGCTGTCTGTCTGGCCTCGTTTTGTGGGTTGGAAGGGGGCACGGGGCAGTGGGCGGGAAGCGCACTCAAGAGGGGCGTGACGGCAGCTTTTTGATGCTTGAACTGCGCTTGTTTTTCTTGCTTTTGTTGTTTTTCCTGGCGCAGACGGTTTGCATACCCATTAAAAGTTGTAGCTCAAGAGTATGTATTGTTATAGTTCGTTTATTAGTTAACATTAAACATAATTAAAAAATAGTAATGTATATAATTTTAGAATCAATTGCGATACCACATTAGAGCTTAACTACCTCTTGGTATTAATTACATTAAAGATGTAACTATCTTAAAATATGCAAGAAAAAATGTGCTTTAATTTGCACTAAGTGAGAGTAAACATAATATATAATTATTTAATTATTATCAATGTAAATTCTTTTAATTAAATATTTGTAGAATAGTTTGCTTCACTTTATTAAAAGGTATTAAAACGTCTTATCTTTTTGCCTATTTTTTCACAATTTTTGTTACGTAGAGTTTTGTTCTTTATTTTTCGGTTGCACTTTATATTTTTTTTTATAAAAATGTATATGTATAACTATACTTCAGTTGTTGTTGTTGTTGTTGGTTGCTCTCACAGAAAAAGGCGTGGCCCATGAGTGGCAAAACAATATCTTACTATCTTATTTTTTGTTGCATTCTTGCGGCGTTGATGTTGCAATAAAATGTTTTTTATTGTTTGATAAAGTTTTTCCTTACATTGTTTATATATTTTATATTATTTTTCCGCTTTGCTTGGCAAGTTTGTTATTCTTTTTGTTGTAATTTTTTTTTATGATTTGGCGCGAAAGTTGAACGTTGGTCTCTTTGTTTCTGGGTGGGGCCTAATGGATATTTTTGCTGCAAGAATTGTGAGAGTCAAGCATAAAATTATGGATTTTCAGGTGGATTAAAGTTGCACGAATGCCTTTTTCTGCGTTTTAAGTGATTCTATGGAATTTGTTAATTGGTTAATGGTTGCGCCACAGTTTGCTTTTAATGGGCTTGACTGTACTTTGTTGCAAGGTGGATTAAGTTTGGAGGGGTTTTATGCTAGCAGACAGAAAACGTTAACTTGTTTGGCTACTGGATGTTATAGTTAATATTTTGATATTAGTTGGGCCTAACAAATATAATAATAAAAGAATTTAATAATTTTCATGGTTATTTTTTATTAGTTTTAGTAATAGAAAATCTTACTGTACTAAATTTGATCTAAATCTAAGAATGTTAATAAGAGACTTATCTATTTTATGAGAGATTTTATTAGCTTGAACACTTTTAGATGATAAAGATCATATCCAAAAACTCTTTATAGGTCATATTGTAGCAACACAGTATTATTGTTATCCAACACAATGACAATTCAATTTAGATTCGAATAAACGAAATTCCTTTCTCATCAGTTGCCTTTCTCTATTGCTCTCATTTCAGATCGGCGACGACTAAATGCATCATTGAGATCACGTGAAATGATCATCGAGTGCCGCGAAGGTGTGAAAGTAAAAATCATGTGAAAAATGTGAGAAAAAGTGAGGAATGCTATGTGACAACAACCACAAATACTTGCAAACAAAAGAGCAACCGAGCAAACAACAACAACCACAACAACAACAACGAGAAAATCAAGAAAAATGATAACCTAAATAAATCAAATTGCTAGTCAGAAAAAAAGAAATAACAACAAGAAACCAGAGAGAGAGGGAAATTAAGTTAAAGAAGTGATCCGAATTTCGATCCCGAGCTCATTTTCTCTCCCCCTTGTATATCTCTACCTCTCTGCACTACGGTATTTCCCCGAATTTACAATTTTTCGGGTTTCCTTTTGCCACCGAAGAAAGCTTTCGCCAAAAAGCTGGAAAGAAAGTGCTAAGGCCGTAGTCGAGATACAAATATTATCAAAACGTGTTTGAAATTTATAACAATAAAGAAAAGCGAGTCCGAGAAGAAGGCAAATATATATTGTCTTGTCTCTGTCATTCATTATTCTCGCCCGAGGTAAGTCACATTTCTTTCGTTTTCTTTGGCAATTTGATTACACTGAAATGTGTTGAGATTGATCTATAAAAACATGGTAGTATAATATAATATATTTTATGATTTTGTGAAGTTTTTAAAAGCGTTTTGCCCAAAAGGGGTTTCCTAATTTCATACGGCACTGAGCTACACAAGCATTAAGTCATTAAATCTGTGTACTTTTTTTTGATAATCCATAAAATCTAATAAGAACTATATTTATATTAATGTTTATTATTATTTTAAACTTAACTTCTAAGCTTACAAAGCTCGAGTTATATTACCTAAAAAATAAAAAGCAAGAAATTCTTATAAAAAGATATTTTTAAATATATTTATATAAGAAAAAGAAGAAAAGCCACTTCCATTTCGGACTGTGGAAAGTTCCACTGTATCTTCGTGTGTCCACAGCTATCTCTTTCGCTTTTCGTTGTGCTTAATTTGTGTCACATTCCAATGAGGTTGAACAAGAAGAAGGAAAAGAAGAGAGTGGGGACGTTCTGGAATTTTTCCTAAGAAATGTATGCTGATTTGATTGTCAATGGGAAAATTTGTGAACTAAAAGAAGTGTGTTTCGTTTCTCTGGTCAAAGAATAAGAAAAGAGGGGGTGGGAGAAGGGGTGTAGTTCTCCCGATTCCGGATATATCATCCCCAACTCTAATATTTCACTTTGGTATTTCCGCATGGCCCAGTTCCAAATAACTCGCTAACAATAAATATTGGGTAAATTCCGGATGGAGCAAAAAATAAAACAGAGGCGTGGTTGTCCAAAGAGGATTGGGGAAAAATTCATGGTGGTGGGTGGCAGAAGGTGGTGTTAAATGGCCTCTGATTCTAAATAATGTGTAACAAATGGCGCGTCTGTCGCAACAACAACTGCAATAATAATAACTTGGCAGCGAGCAGCGACAGTTTCTAGCAACAAAAACAACTGAATCAGTGGAAAAAAATCTGGAAAACAGGAAAAAAGTTAGAAATTCTATTCGCAGTCAGGGTTGGAGAATTTCTATATACCCTATATCTTAGTGATTGTTTTGCCCAACTAAAATATTGGATTAAGTATCTGTTTTAAGGTATTTAAAATCACATTTCTTTATAAGAAATATATTTGATCGGAGGTTGTTTAACATGTTTTCACTTGGTTAATGGAACGATATATACCTTTGGATTATTTTCGAAATATATAAGGTCGATAGTTGATATTGACAGTGGCTAAAATCTAAGATAATAAATAAGTTAGTTTAAAGGTTTTTATTAGGGAAATAAAAATAAAGTTGACTGGAAATTTCTGTTTCCAAGAGTAATCTATTTTAAAGACTATCCTGAGTTTCTATTATAAGTTGGGAGTATAGGTACAAGGCAGAGTATAATCTCCACCAGACGGGATCGAAGTATAGTGCAGACCTCCAGACCGGACCCAGAAGGGGGGTTAGAGGAAGTAAGGAGGTAGGGGTGGGGGAAGAGATGGAGGCAACCGACCGCATCAGCAGAAGTAGAAGTAGCAGCAGTCGCTCAATTGCACACTCACCGTCTGGGCATTTTCACAGTTTTGGAGCAGACACACTCGCACACATGGGAACCACTCTTGAGACGACGGTTGACGCCTCGAAGTGTAGTAGTAGTAGCAGTAGGGAGGGGGAAGGGGGATCTTGAGGCGGGGATCTATTAGTGTGTGGCAGGCAGCATGTGGCATGCGGTATGCCATTGCAATTGCACAAACATTTCTATATTGCTCTAATGTATATCTCCACGCCTCGTGGCTGTCGCTGTCTCATTGTATTTGTGTTTTTTTTTTAAGTTTTTATTTTTATTTTGCGGTTGAAGCGAGTCGAGGCCGGAAATAGTTTCAATTGGAAAGGCAGGCAACCTGGCCGAAAGATCTGCTGGCTCTGGTCACTGATAAAGCCATAAGTGGCCCCCATTCATGCGAATGCGGCTGAAAAAAGCAGATTACAATGAACTCATTTGTGTTCAATGGACAGGAAGAAATGAAAAATTAAGAAAATTTGTATAATTATAAATGTTTACAATGGAAATTTATAACAAATATATATTAGAATAAAGGATGTTAATATATCTACAGTTACAAAACGAAAAATTACCTGAAAAGTGACTTACTTTTTCATCATTAACAGTTTACAGGTTTGTAATTGGATCTTTAATATTGTTTCTGGCATTAAAAACAATAGTAAAATTGATATATTTTCTTGTCTTTAAGTGGTATTTGGTATTTAAGTGTCCTTGTTTTGAAATCCAATCTATTTAACTACTTAAACTTAAAAGAATTTGAATTCCCAAATAGCTCAGGAGATTTACATCCCAACTATAATTCTTAGAGAAACATTTACGAGTTCGTGTCTTGGCTTTAAGGTAATCGTTTAGATTTTCCCACCTGCAGAAAATCAAACCATTTTATTTACCGTTGTTAATATAATAAAATCACTCCCTAAGAGCCTCACGCCTTCGGAGTATATCCTTTTTTACTGTCAGTTTACGACTTTAGTTTCGCCTTCTTCGCCATTTAGTCGGGAATTATGTGTGGCCATCGGATTTTTTCCCAGGCTCCCGGGGGAAGCCTTTTAATGAGCTAAGGAGGTAACCCAGCATCTCCTCTGGGTCTCCCATATCCATTGCAGTTTGTGTTTTTTTTTTTTTTCATGTTCATGTTCCTCCTTGGGCTTGTTTTGTTTCGTTTTGGGACTTTAATGGCCAACTGGTTGCGGTGAGCACGTGTTGCCTGTCAGTCATCCATCCATCCATCCAGCCAGCCCGTGTATTCAGTCAGCCAGTCAGTCAGTCATTCAGTCACAGACGTTGATTGAGATAGCAGACTGGTTCCATGGGAAGAAACAACCAAAGGGTCTATGAGGGGGCGTCTTCAGGTCTCAGAAAATCTCAGAATCTCACGAGACTCTGGCACAGAGTCACAAAGTCTCGGTGGCTCTTCGATTTTGGGGCGTGCCCCTTGTTTTCGTTACCATTTACCATTCTCCTCCACAGACGCGCACATTCTGTCAGTTGCTCAATTAGACGCACTTCCGCTGCATTTCCCTTCGCTTTTCCTCACCCCACTCGCTTTATTTCTATATTTATTTCCGTTTTGTGCGTGTGATTGATGGTCGACTGCTGGGCAATGATGTAACCAGAAATTAAAACGGAAATGAATATGAAAACGAGACGGGAATATATGCGGCGACGGTCAGGAATAATGTCGCCGATTAAGATTGGGGCAATAAAAAAATTCATAAAAATAAATAAAGAAAACTAAGTGTTAGGTTTTAAAAGATCTGCTGCTATATGGTGTACATTTATCGCCAAGGGGCTTTATAGTTTGAAGTTTGAAAAAAGGAAACTATAAGTTCCAAAAGTTTCCTTTCTAAATCTATAATGATGTCTTGTACCTTGATTAACGCCCAAGTTATGGGAGACTAATTTATAGTCTTAAATAATGGTTTTCTAAAATGTTTTCAAGACAAAGAAAATGCCAAACTTTTCTCGTTGTGGATTTGTTTTTCGGAGTACCCACTGTGTTCCTTTTAATGCGCTTTTGTCCGGAGACAGTTAACATGCCGTGCCATTTTCACTTCCCCAAAGGCACTTTCCCTTCCCCCATCCCTTTCCCATCTTAACTAAATTTTCTCTCTCTTTCGCCGGCGTTGTTGTTGTGTCCAATAAACTAGTAGCAACAGCTGCAGCCGCAGACGACAATCGAAATGCGAAGGGTGTAAAGTGGCGCTGCCACATTCCAATGTCTGTAGCTGTTGTTTCTCTTCCTTTTTGTTGTCAAGAATGCCGGAGATGGAGATGGGAGATGGGCGATGGGCGATGGGCGATGGGAGAAGAAGCAAACGAAGATGAAAATGAAGATGAAGATGAAGTCGATGGAGCAGCAGCAGCAGCAGCATCAGCAGCAGCCGAAGCAGCATTAATCGTGGCATCATCTCATCGACACTCTCCATGTAAAAATCACGTTTCAAGTTATGTGAACGGCGCGTGAATGAGTCGAAGTCCAGAGTTCGAATTGCGTTCGAAAGAGATGGCCAGATGGCGACAGAAAGAGATAGGAACACCAATGGTCGTCTGCGAATGCGATCGAGCTGAAAATGCAGACTTAATTCGCCGGCAAAGAGACAGAGAGAGAGAGAGAGAAAAGAGAATTTTCTCGATTTGTCCCGGAATGTAAGCTTTCGTTACCAGAATTAACTTCATTTCGCTTGGAATTTGAGTCTTTTGATTGCAGTGAGATCGCTTTGCCTTTAATGATCACATTTTTTATTGCTTTTCAATTGGTTTTGCTTACTTGGTTTAAAGTTATATGTTTTTTATAAGTTATTACTGTGTAAGCAAGTGAAAATCATAAAAAGGATAATATAATTTTAAATGGTTTTTAGCATCAAATGATTTGTATATTAATGTTCTTTAAGAATAGATTATTCATTAAAAAATTATTTATTCATTTATTTGATAAGTATTTAAGTTTAAAACCATCTTTCATTTGGTTTTTTGTTGTTTTTAATAGTTTGGAATTCCAACTAGAGTGAACCTTTCTTTTAGCTTTTCTTTGTTTTAACTTGTAGTTGACTTAACTATTACTTACCCTTTTTTTTGTTGTTTTAAAAATGTAATATAAATAACACCAAAGTATGCCATCATAATCAAAGATCAATAAAGAATCGATACATTGTTGATGAAAACCAGTATTCTATTAACAAACCTCGACAGATCATTTAGAACCATATAATTGACGTTTATTCTCGATCAATAAAAAATAAGCAATTTGAAAGAGATAGCTTTTCGGGCAATAAGGACAGCAAGCATTGAATAATTTGTGTGCCCCTTGAAGAGTTATAAATGACAGATAATGCCATAAATAAGCGTACTCCATCTGTCATTTAATTTATTTCCTTTTTTTTTGGTTGTATAAATGATCGGCGGCAACCCCTTCAATGACAATTTGTTGCCGCCTTTCGCCTGTCCCAAC